CCTGGGACTTAAACTCAGGGCCTGAGCACTGTCCCTGAGCTTCTTTGGCTCAAGACTAGCACTCTACAGTTTGAGCCGCAGCACCACTTCCAGCTTTTTCTGAGGAGTTTATTGGAAATAAGAGTCTCATGGAAGCCGGGAGCCGGTGGCTCACACATGTAATCCTAGCTACTCAGGAGGCTGATCGGGGTTCAAAGCCAGTACAGGACCTGTGAGACTCTTATCTCCAATAATCCACTAGAAAACCAGAAGTGGCGCTGTGGCTCCAGCGGTAGAGCGCTGCCTTGAGCTGAAGAGCGCAGGGACAGCGCCCAGGCCCAGAGTTCAAGCCCCACGACCGACCATAACAACTTGTTGCAATGTAGTAGCCCTGATTTTAAGAAGGCCTTTCCTCCTTCCCCCACAACCCCACCCCACTGCCTGGAGTTATAATATGATCTAATTAATTTTACCTTTTGTTGGGAGATCTATGCCTTTTGTAGAGACCCTAGTGTTCTGGGGACCTTCCTGCAAATTAAAACCATCTGATTACTGGAGTGTGTTTAAAATCAAGGACCTTAATTTCCTTGCTAAACAATCTCCAGTTCTTTATCTTTTCTCTAAGGCATTAAGTTTAGAATCTGATACACTATACACTACATTGAGCTGTAGAGAACAAAATTTTCATTAGTTTCTTTGGCTATATCTAGCATTAGATTAAATGCTATTATTCTTTGCAAAAATAGAACCCTGATAGCCAACAAGGATTGATGCATCATGATGGGATAGATTTAATTGCTAAGAATTAGAAATCTAATTAAATGAGATACTCATTTAATTGTATATGAGATACTCATATGACCTATTTTTCATAACTTTTTAGCTTTGAGTTACTTTTGGAAAAGTCTGGGAGAGAAGATAGAAAGCTATTTTTGTTAACTGATTTGGAAAAAGAAAAGTTCCAAAGCTAAATGCTTTTTATATTTCGTGAGACTCATTCCCTGGCTGGTTCACCAATTTGTTATTGGATAATGGAAGAGGGAGTTCCCTCCTCTTCCTAGAGGAAACCGCTGGCCCTTGACATCCACACAGGAAAAGCATTTCAGTAAGGAGAATCTCATAAAGTGAAATTTTGGCAAAGGTTTATATTAATATAAGAAGATAAGATAGAGAGAAATAGAAAAAGAATAATCCCATCTCCACATGGGAAATGAGAGTTAAAGACTTTGATCCACATTCTGTTATTCTGTGATAAGAACACATTTATATTAAATAGTACCCTGAAAATATATGGAAAGACTTAAAAACAGCTTGCTGCCTAGTAGGTCTCCTGGCTATATTCTCCAGGCTGCCTAGTTTACATTCCTAGTTGACTTAGGTTTTTTTGTGTTGCTGAATTACTTAGTTCACTATTAAACATGTGTAGGATGGGTGAGGAATGTCTTAGCAGTGTGTGTGACCATGTTATCAGGATTTTAGTTGATTTTCAGCAAAATATGAGTCATCAAATTCCTGTGGCTGTAAACAGAAGGCTCCATTAATAGCTGCTTGTTGTTTAGAGTGAAGTGGGAAGATGATCCAAGTCTCTCCTTTCCCAGTTAACTCACAGTGCACACAATATGTTCAGTTCTCAGTGCTGCAAATAGATAAGTTCTGTCTATGGACTGAGCTGAGGCATGATAGGGGAACTACTTTAGTCAGTGTTCTTTGAGGAACATACAACATTTGAAACTTAGAAGACTCGGGGCAATCCATCTTCATATATTTTTAAGACTAGAAGATATGTGGTATAACTATTCTTAAGATGAATTTACCAGTTTATGGGATAGCTATGGAAATTACCATCTTAAGTTGTATCAGCCCAGTGACCTATTGGAGCACTTTTTATATATAACTGCCTTAGCCCTATTAGCCATTTTCTTCAAGGAGCCATTGTTTCTTGTAGAGTAATCAGAAACTAAAGTTTGAATATTCCAAGTGTTCAGTGCTATTCCCAGGTCTTCAGTGAGTGGAGCTGGGGAACACACACACACACACACACACACACAGACACACACAGACACACTTTTATTTACACATTCATCATGAATTCATACCACTCTCTGGTTCCTATCTAATGCTATAGGATATGTCAATTTTCTCCCTTTTCATATTTTTATTTCTTTTATGAAAATGAAAGACCTATTTCTGTAATTGTTAATATATGTTTGTTTCCCTGTGATTGTATTTGTTCAGTCCTTGCCTACTCTATACCATGTGTGAATGGCCTCATCACCCTATTTGGACTTAATACTCCTCTACTGAACTTAAACTTGCTTTCTCCACAGTTTTTCATTCCATCTCCTCAATAGGGGTCTAGCATGTGTGGTCCAGCAGTCTAGTCTGTTTTAGGTTGTCCTCTATGTGGATGCCATCACTTGCTGATGGCATTTTGTTGACAGTGTCAATAAAAAATTTGTGCCTCTTTTTCATATCCAAGAAGTATTTAAAAGTGAGGAAAGACAAATGATTAGTAAGTTATTTGCTTTGAAGTGGCAGATTGAAGAAGTAGCTGTGAGGTATTGAGAAATGGATTCAGTAGTGAAGAAGAAAATGCATAGCAATATGAAAAACTTAGTGAAGAATAGCCCAAGTTCTTACCTCATTGATTTTTGCAGATATTTTGTTTATGTTTTTGTTTTTGATTTTGGTCAGTCATGGAGCTAGAAATCTAGGCCTGGACACTGTCCCTCAGCTCTTCAGCTCAAGGCTAGCACTCTACCACTTGAGCCACAGTGCCACTTCCGGTGTTTTCATACATGGGAGGCAAGCACTCTACCACTGAGCCACTTTCCCAGCCTCTGATTTTTGCAGATATTTTGGAAGATACATTTGTTAATGTTTCTTATTTTGACCATAAGTCTTCATGTAAGGATATATTATAGTTGTAATGTAAAGGTCATGTGCAATTAATATAGTCAAACACAAGATAATGAAATATATGTCATCCTTTAAAATTGTAAGTCTTAGAGGATTAGCTTTCATTTCATAAAATTAACTCATCTAGAGCTCATCAATCTCTTACCATTACAGCCAAGGTTCTTTTCTAATTATATGTATGTGAAAATGAAGTTATCCTTTCCTCCTGTGCTCCCTAATTACATCTGGGTGGTTTTTTAGTTTTCCAGACTGAAAATGTCAACATGATCTTTGCTTCATCCTTTTTACTTTGCTATCCACTTCCAGTCACTTCCTCTTCTGTCAGTTCTAACAGCTTAATGCCCGCTGTGCACCTCTTCCTTGCATTCCATTATAGCCTGCTTTACACCGTTCTTTTTCTGTGGGTTTTATAGGAATATATTCTGTGATTTGCCTTTGCATTGTCCATGCATCTCTGTTTTAAAGGCAGCTAAATTAATTGTCTCAAGAAGCCAACGTCAGGAATGATAGGGAATGGACTGTAGTGAATGCAGTGCCTGACTGAAACATGTCTAGGGGATTGACATCAAGTTGAATGAGGTATTAGATATTAGATTCTAGTTTTGTAATGAAGCTAGAAACTCATTATTGTATGAAGTGTTAGGTATATTTTTCTAAATACTTTCCTAACAAAAAGGATTGACATTACACTTTAATATGCAGTGGAAGACTGTGAAATTGTTTTAAGAATCTCAACTCTTTAGGCTGGTCTAAAAGACCCTTTACTGATGGCATGGTGATACATACTTGTAATCTCAGCACTTGGGAGGCTGAGATGGAAGATGGAAAATTTGAGGTTAGCTAATGCTACATAATGAGAACCTGTCTCAAAAATGAGAGGGAGAGGGGGTACAAAAGGAAGAGCTGGGGAGGGAAGGGGAAGGAAAGAGAGGAGAGGAGGGAAGGCAAGGCAAGTTTGGCCCTAGGCTGTGTTTCTGGTGTGAGCTTGATATATAGATGGTTTCTCATTTCTGGTATTTCTCTTAACCTGGGTTGCTCCCATTTTGTTGGCCTCATTGCCCTAATCCTTTTTTCCCTGACTTTCTAGTCTCTATTTCCTTGACGATATGTTGTACCTTTGTCCTAAATTTTGACAAGATATAAACTACCTTGTTTGTAGTTATTTATGGATTTGACCTATTTCCTTTAGCTTGGGACCTTTTAGTATAAGGATCTGTACTCATTTATTACATCCTTCTAACACATTGCTTAATGAATGTATAGTAGACTAATAATGACAGAGCAAATGACTGAGTGACTGAATGAAGGCAGGTTGTAACTGCTGGGTATTATGGAGAAATAGTTTTCAAACTGGTCTTCATATGTCTAGTTCTTTCTTTGTATATTTAGTCCTGTGGGTATTTTCCAGGCATGTTTGCTGGGTATCTTGCTTATTATTCTTTAGTTCAAATAGTGTCTGCGGATCTTCATTGCTTAAATAACAAAGTTCATGCTTTACACTGCAATATTTACTATCTTCTCGTTTTTAGTTCATCTCCCACTATTCCCTATCATGTTTTGGGTTTTGGTGCTTGTTTGTTGTTTCTTTATTGGCACTGGGGCTTAAACATAGAGCCTTGCACATGGTAAGCATGTACTTTACCACTTAACTACACTTCCAACCCTATTCTAACTGATTTTGCTTCTTCTGTCCAGCCAAATGTGGTCACTCATTCTTTATCTTGATCTTTAAGATTTCAGTAGATAAATAAAACCTCTTTAGATAGACAAGATGTAAAATTTGCTGAAGTACTATTTAGATCAGGTTTTAAATAAACCTGCCTTTTGCTGAAGAAATAAAGATTAGAATTATAATAAGCTCATTATTTGGTCAAAATATAATTAGGGCAAACTATAATAGTGTTATATGACAGTGGGTTTAATGTGGCATTATATTTTTTTCTTATAGGATTACAAATAGTTGGGGAGAGTCAGAGATAAACTTAAGAGTTAGTCTGTAAATATATTAATCAAATATGAACTAAAATCATTTCTTTTGGCTTTAAACTCATATTAAAACAGTATGAAATCTGAATAATATTAAATATTTTCTTCTCTTTCAGGACTCAAGGAAGAACTGAGGTAAGATGATTTTTATGGAAATTTATTTAAAATGTAAGATTGTATTTAAACATGAATGGATTCTTTTCTGGTTGTTCATGCTCAACTTTTTTCTTCATTGACCTAACCTTTTCTCAGCACTCTGAAATGAGTATGACTTCAGTAATATTTCAGCATTACTTCAGTGTGGCAAAGGCATTTGATTTTGGAATTTTTAAGGCTTTAGATTTTTAATCTAAAATTTTAATCCACAATGTATATAGTACTTATCACACTATAAGTACTAATTGTTCATAAATATTTATGATCTTCTTATATATTAGGAGATCAATAAGTTTATGTTCATTTATTTAATGTAAGATTTATTATTTTCAGATCTATGATATAGTGAAAATCATTTGGGAAGAACACCTGTGGTCTTTTTTTCAAAACCTTATAGTTGAGCTATTCTTTTACATATTTAGGTATATCTACCATGCCAGTGAGTCACACCTGTCTTAGTTACTTTGGAGTAACTAAGTAACAATTATTGGTAGTATTGCAGTTTGAGACAATCCCAGATGACTATTGGGAGTATTATATATATATATATATTTTTTTTTTTTTTTTGTCGGTCGTGGGGCTTGAACTCTGGGCCTGGGCGCTGTCCCTCAGCTCTTCAGCTCAAGGCGAGTGCTCTACCACTTGAGCTACAGCGCCACTTCCGGTTTTCTGGTGGTTTATTGGAGATAGGAGTCTCAAGGTCTCTCCTGCCCCGGCTGGCTTTGAACCACGATCCTCAGATCTCAGCCTCCTGAGTAGCTAGGACAGCGCCCGGCTGAGTATTATAATTTGAGGGGAGCCCAGATAGAAAGTTCAGGAGACCCTTTCTCACATGATAGCTTAATGTAGTGCTTATGCTTATTTCTCAGCTACATCAGAGGCTGAGGTTGGGTGGATTGAGGTTATAGGCAGATAAAAGTCCTTGAGATTTCATCTCAATAGAAGAAAGCTAGGCATGTTGGCACATGTGTCTTGTCTTCCCAGCCAGATGAATAGCCTAATATAGGTGAATTGTGATTCCTGCATCACCCAGACAGGAAGTGGGACCCTATCTTAAAAATAACAACGAGACAAAGGACTGGAGGCCTGGCTTATCAGTAGAGCAACTGCCTAGCAAGCAAGTTCAAATATTGAAACACAAAAACAGTACCATGTACTCATGTAATAGTTAAGACTAATAATATATCTTCTTTTTATGTTTAAGCTTTTTAAAGCAAATGCCCCACTTTTTTTTACCTGTCTCCAGTATAATCCACTCCTTAAATGTTCTTAAAATATTTACTCTATTAGCAAATAATGTTTTCTTTCTTGTGCTAAGCCCTTTGTGAGGTATTAGGATGTAAAGGTTATTGACCTCATCAGCCATAGGAAAAAAAAATTCATTTTTGTTTTAGATGAGCCCCATCATTCTGGCACATAGGAATAGATTTTTTATAATTTATGACTACTAAGGATTTTTCGATGAAGTTTTAAAAGATGTTTGATACACTAGAAAATGCTACACAAATTTAAAAAGTATTAATTTATAATTAAAATTTTTTGTACAGATCCTTGGAATATAAGTATCTATTGTAGTAAGGTCTGGTTAATGTGTCTATTAGGTATCATTTACTCTGAATGAGGATCTTGCAAATATTCATGATATTGGAGGGAAACCGGCTTCTGTCAGTGCTCCTAGAGAACATCCATTTGTCTTGCAAAGTGTTGGAGGACAAACATTAACAGTGTTTACTGAGAGCTCATCAGGTAAGTGGGAATGGAATTACTTAACTTGATTCCTGGATTGTTTTGTGTCAATGTACACTCGTGTTTGCTTTTCTAAGGACATTACCAAAGCTGTTCTTCCTGTCATTCTCGTATGCTACTTCTATGATTTTTATTTTCTTGTGATGAATGAAATGTGGCCATTACTTGCAACAGGTTTAATTCCCATTTAGGGTATGAATATAGAATAAAGCAAATGAAAGGATCTGGTGCATTTGGCAGCCTTATAAGATGAAGAGATGACATTCTGAGTTTTGATAAGGTCACAAAAACCTTGTGCATTTTACTATGTTGATAATCAGCAAGTGTAAGTTATACTTAAAAATACTGCTTAATATTAGGGAATATTTTAGTGTGGATTTTTGTGCTTGTATATTTCATATACTTGTCTTTTAAAGACTAACTTTTAATTGGTTTTGACTTCCATGAAGCTCAGTGTAGTATACACAGTTTTAAATTGTGTATGATAGCAGTGAGATATTTTAGCAGCTCAATAAATTAAGAGCAGTTGGTTCAGTTTGTGAATTAAATACTATAGGAATTTTTGTTGTTGTTGTTTCTTGGTTGTTGTCCTTAGTGACTTGGAACATTACTATTAAAGCAGCAGCAGTTTAATGGAATTGATTTTCTCATATCTAATTCAAAAAGTTAATGCCATGTGAAGAAAAAAAAAGCTTCTGATTTGATTTTGTATTTTGGCAGTAGAGATATTTGAAATCATACCCTCAAGATGGTTGAGTATGTACTCCACCACTCAGGAAACCATCCCCCAGCTTCTTTTTTGGTAGGGTCTCATGTTTTTGCCCAAGACTAGCCCAAGATTGTAATTCATCTATCTTTGCCTCCTGAGTAGCTGAGATCACAAGCTCAAGCCACCATGCCTGGCTTATTCATTGAGATGATATCTTACTACCTTTTTTGCCCAGGCTAGCCATGAAACCCATGATTGTATATTTATGTCCATTTTATGAGTTGGTAGAATTATGTATCAACTTCTGAGCTCTGTTCTCTGATTTTTTTTTTTTTTGGTCGGTCGTGGGACTTGAACTCTGGGCCTGGGCGCTATCCCTCAGCTCTTCAGCTCAAGGCAAGCACTCTACCACTTGAGCTACAACGCCACTTCTGGTTTTCTGGTGGTTTATTGGAGATAGGAGTCTCATGGTCTCTCCTGCCTGGGCTGGCTTTGAACTGTGATCCTCAGATCTCAGCCTCCTGAGTAGCTAGGATTACAGGCGTGAGCCACCAGCGCCCGGCTTGTTCTCTGATTTTAATGTCTCAAATATTTCAAAGAAAGTTACAAGAAACTATGCAGTCTTAAGAACATCAGTCTTTTAAAAAGGAATGTCCTCAGATAAATTTTTGTGATTATCATATATTACCGATAGCTGTATAAAGTGATCCAGAAAAATTAGTGATTTACTTCTTTTCTCTTTTGAGCTAACAAAATAGTAAATTATAGTAAATTAAAGATAAAATCATGATTTTATTGTGTTTCATTTGTTTGTGCGTACACTGGTGCTTGAACTCAGGGCCTCATTCTCTTGCTTGGCCTATTTGCTCTTGGCTGCCCTCTAGCTACTGCTCCATTTCTAGCTCCACTTTTTGATGGTTAATTGGAGGTAAGAGTCTCTTGGACTCCTCTGCCCAATTTCCAGCTATGATCCACAGATCTCACCCTCCTTCATGGCTAGGACTATAGGATGAACCACTAGTGCCAAGCTTCATTGTATTATTTTGGTGCTATCATAATAATTTATAATGTAGTGTTACAGGTGCTACAAAATGTTAAATAACATATATCCAACACATCCACTTACTGTATACTACATTGCTGAGGGCATAGTATAGGAGTTAGAATTTTTTTTCAATTGCTGGGATTTATTTTTTGTGTACTTGGGATCGAACTCACAGCCTTTTACATATTAGGCAACCATGCCCTAAACCCTTTTGTTTATATTTTGTTTTTGAGATAGAGTCTCACTAACTTTGCCTGTGTTGTCTTCTTGATCTTTCTGCCTAAGCCTCCCCAGTTATTGAAATGACAAGGGTGCCATGCCTAGTAATTGGGATTGAATCAAACTTGTTGAACCTGTAAGGTTATCTACTTGTGTGCTTGTGGAAGGGAAGAGGCATAGTGCCAGGATGATAAAAAGGAGGCTTGAGTTTTAGATGAAACATTTGAGGTTGGGAAACGTGAATTTCTTTTGTAGAAAAAAGGATCCTGTTTAAACTTTCAATAACTAAGTGGCTAATTTTTACAAAGCATGATTTATCACTGATCGATGTTTTATAAAACTGACATGGGTTATTCTTGAAATCTTAAATCCTTTAGTATTGCATTCCTTTTGAACATTTTGTGTTCCCATTTCTGGTAGCAGTATATTCCTGAGTGTGGTTTTTGTAAGGATTATCTTGTCAGGATGTGGAAAAAGATCAAGATTGTCATTCCTATTCTGGAGTTTGACAAAATGTTCTTGCTTTATAGAACTGAAGAGATTTTTGTACAGCAGACCCTTACTTGTAGATCAGAGTTTCTTGCTTCTTACACTTACAAATTTCTGTTTGTGTCATGGTTCCTTGATTCTCTCTATTCTTTTTTTGTGCCTTAACTGCTTTGTGAAGCAAGGATCACAATATGACATTTTTATTACATATGAATATGTTTAAAATATTTAGGACAATATGTGATCATAAGGAATGCTCAATAAATGTTAGTTATTTTCCTAATATCTTATTTTAAAAAACTTAAGATTTATTTCATAAGGCATGTGTATGCAGTTTGGCATAACTTAGATCTATAGCGTTTGATAAAACTCAGTGAATAAAGTTTTCAAATTGAACATTTCTCAATTTCCTTGATGACAGGAAAAAAAGTTCGAGTTATTAACAGCTTATCTCTTCTGTGTCATCTTATGTATTTGCTATTTCTGGTCATTAGAGCAACAGTTCTACAGATGGGTTATTTGGATCTCTAGAAAGTCCATAATAGACGGTAAAGATCTCCATGATGCATTAAAATTGCTACATGTATGTTTTTCTGTAGGACAGGACTTACAGGATTTAATGGCATGTTAGAGGGGTCTGTGGCCTAGAAAAATTACAGAGCCATGACTAACATTTCTTTGGTTGGTCATAAACTTGCCAAATTATAAGTGACTAAGCCACTTAACATATAGTAAGCTATTTATTTTACATTGGAATATATATGAAGTAACTGTTGTTTTGAATATTTTTACATTTTCCCTTAAGTACAGAAATGTATCTGCTTATTATAAATATTGCTTTCTAGGCTCTTTATAGTTTTTTCAATAGTTCATCCTATGCAATGTAAAATTTTATTAGAAAAATTAAAACTCTATTTGAATTTAATATGTTGAATTCTGCATATTTGAGTGACTTTCTTTATATAAGACCCTTACAAATTTTATATTGTTCTTGTATGTTTATATGTGTATTTATGTACAGGCTTCTTGAAAGTTGCAGATGCTTTAGGTCTAGGTATGAGGGCTTGCATTTTGCTTCACTCAGAAGATCTTTCCATGGCCAAGGTTTTCAGAGTTCAGCTGAGGGGTGAACACTAATGACTCTATTGTTTGGTTCCGTTGAATGTCTTTTGGGAGGATGGAATTAGAGTAGGCTGGTAATATGCTGTATAATACTTCCCATTTAATTATTTAATCTCTTGGTTGTTATATATACAATATTCTTTTGGGCAGGCTTATTTTTCTCCAGACTTAACTTTTTTTTTTTATAACTTTCCAATTCTAGACAAAAGTGTTCATCTGTTCACACAATTTTTGGTGCCAGGACTAGACTTCTGTCCACTGGGGCATCTGATACAGGAAAAAAACAATTCCTATAATAAGTCTTTGAATGGAGTTAAGTACAGAGAATGTGTACTTTGCCTGAAGGAACTGGGAAAGTCTTCAAAACAGAAATATTTGGGCTAGACCAAATAGTAGGAAAGAAAGTGTAGGTAAATTCATTCCCTTATTTTGCTTTTTCCTGCAGGTCATAGTCATTCATACTATCTAATGCTGGTAGTTCTTGTTAAATGAAACCACCAAAGCTCAGTTGTAAACTTCACTATCTAGGGAGGAAAAAAATTTGATCTAGTGCAATGGGAGTAGAAAACAGAGATTGTGCTCTAGAGATAACAGGTACTTCCACAGCTTTTGGTGATAAACTGAGATTTTTTTGTGGGGGGGTCCGGTAGTGGGGCCTAAACTCTGGGCCTGGGCGCTGTCCCTCAGCTCTTCAGCTCAAGGCTAACACTCTACCACTTGAGCCACAGCGCCACTTCCAGCTTTTTTCTTTTTGCGTAAGTGGTGCTGAGGAATCGAACCCAGGGCCTCATGCATGCAAGGCAAGCGCTCTACCACTGAGCCACCTTTCCAGCCCCATAAACTGAGGTTTATAATGGTTTCCAGGCTTTTTTGCATTAACATCTGGTTGGATTGTGAGACCATTTCCAAATTAAGAAATATTAGAAGAAATGAGCAGGGTGCAAGCTGATGCATAGTAACTTTTATTTTGGTTTTGGTTTTCATTCTCTTTCACACCTTTGTAAAAGTTCATTAATTCAGCTAATTGGTGTTTCTGCCAACTTTTTAAAAAATTTTTTTATTGTAAGGATACTAGAGGGTTACAGTTACATGAGCAAGGTAATGAGTACACTTTCTATTGAGCATTGTTACCCCCTCCATTGTTTTCCCCCTACCATCCCTTCCCTCCCTACCTTCCCCGAGATTCTTTTTTTTTTTAATTGTGATTAAGTGATTACATAATTTCCCAAATTTCACAGTATTGTAGAATAATGATGCTCCTTTAAAGTCACAAGTTCATTCTAACTTTCCTGGAGCAAATTGTCTATCACGGTCTATAACATATAACGGTATACACATATACACCATACATGTGATCAGCAGCATGGGGATATTTAGTAGTGGTTCGACCAGATGAGTGGGAGTTCTTTGTTTCTT